ATGTTTGATATGTTTGAGGGAGTGGGATTCGATAGACATTGGAGAGGGTCAGTGTTTTTAAATATTGCTTGTCTTTGGTGTTTTAGGCTAATAGTAGTATAAATAGTGCATTCTTCAAAATAAGGCGTAGAAAACTAGAGCTGTTATTTAAGCAAACAAACAAAACCATAATTTTGCACATAGGGAGCTGAAGGAAAAGGAATTCACGATTAAGCTAGAACCTTTTAGTGGCTCAAAATTTTAAATCGTAATAGAGTGACGGTTAGACTAGACTAATGTATGTATTTATAATTTGTATATGGACATTAAAACGCCTTTGTAATCTAGCTACAAGAGAACATATCTATTTAAGATCTAAATCTGAGTAGATTTGTCTGACGGAAGAATCAACTGTTGAATATCTCAACACTCTTATCGAAATCTGCAACAATCTGCTTCTGTGTCATTATCATATTACGTCCATTACGTCCGCAGCTACCATTAATCATGGCAATCGTTTGCCAATCCAAGGTACATACATACTTATACGGGTATATATGTAGATATCGGACACATTTGAAGCCCGAAATGGGCAATAGTCGAACGCCGCGAAAATGTCTCTATCGCCAAGTGCAGCTGGAATTACGCGTCTCCGTCTACCTTCCGAAACAAAAGAGAAGTACAAAAACAAAATACTCGTGGCTGGGGGCTCGAGTGAAGGTAGCCGTCGAAGCTGTGGCTCTGGCTGCGGATCTGGCTGTGGCTCTGTGGGATTGGCGGTCTGGTTGTCTAGCAGCGGGGGCTGGTGAGAGAAATGTGCTGTGGCGTGCGGTAAACGATACGCCTTTGCCTCGAGGTGTTTGTTACTTTTGCGGTTTTATCTGAGATAGACACACACACACACACACACAAATACAGTCACACAGATATACACAAACACAATTACATCTACAAACAAACTTTGAAGCAGAGTTAGTAGAAGATTTGCAAATACGCCCCCAAGTGCGCGTGCAGCTTCTGTCAAATGCATCGAATACATATACATAAGTGTATGCATATATATACATATGTTTATATCCATATATATGTATGAACACACATGCAGTGTTGTTGCAGCTGCTGCCCCATTGTTTTATCCAAACAAAACTGCACTTGAACTGTGCGATTGGATTACTACTATATGTATATACCTGCAAAAGTTGAAGCCGAGGCGAGCGAACTTTGTGTGAGGTTAGTGGGTCTTGCTCTTCCAATTTGATTTCTTGTTGTAGCAGCCATTGTGGTTGTTGTTGCTGTGTTTGCTGTTGTTGTTGTTGTTGTTTTTTTCGAAGCTCAACTAATTGCTTGTAAATGGTTAAATGTTAATTAAAGCGTAAATGTGTGGCCTGCATTTTGATTTCCACTGCAAGTCACGTCAAGTGGCGTGAGATAGGCGCATACTTTGAGCCTCGAGTATTTGTTGTAGTTGCCATTGTTGCTGTTGTTGTTGTTGTTGTTGTTGCACATCAAGTGGTAGGTGGAGGCGCGCACTTTAAGCTGCCAATGTGTAATTGCTTCCGTCAAGCTGTAATGCGTTCAAGTTGTGGGTCAAACCTTCTGAAGTGTTTTTCAGAAATTCAGGGTTACAGCGATTATGAAACTCTGTTTCTGTCAGTCTCCTACTTGACAAAAATGATGCGCAATACAAAGCCAAGGCTCGGAAATATGAACAAATCGTTCAGATTGGTAAGCTGCAATCGGAGACAGAGCGGTTAATTCAACAAGGAAGAGTACCCCATAAAGGGAATGAATTAATAATGAGCTCCATGTGCAGTTTTCTTCAATTAAACAGACCAATATTTATTTGGTTGCATTAGCATTTGAGTTAAAACTTAAAACAAATCAGCTCGCAAGTAATATTCAATACCGTATATTAATACAAGTAGTTATATGTTACTCATAGGAATGTATGCCAACTATTGTTGTTTACATTCCACCGGCTCTAATCTAGCAACAACAATAATTTCAGAGGAGGCAGAGGGGGCTGATGTCCTAGTATTTCCCCTAACCCTATTAATTTGTTGTTCTTCTGGGCGGTTTTGGTGGAGCGTGGGGGCTTCCGAGCTTCAGTGAAGGAAGCCATCGCTATCTCACTTCTTGGCCAATTCCTTGGCATTGAGTCGGTTACTTCCGGCGAGATGTTCTTGCAAAACCATTTGCGGAGGAAAGTCTTGCGTGTCACCTCGTCGTTGGTCTTGTTTGCTTCACGCTCCTTCAGAGTCAGATCAAGTATCTACAAATTGAATAGAATTCCAAAGTGCACTTAAAATGGTTTTGTGGTAAGAATTTAAATTAAGAGCTCTCACAGTGGGCTATCGTAGTACTGAACTGGTTGATAACTAATAAGATAATCAATAAGATAATAATTAATAAGAATTTAATAACAACGCAGAAAAGAAAATGGTTTCAAAATCATTTAAAAATTTGGGTGGAGTAATTACCTTTTTAAGTCACACAAATTCTTTTATATGATCCAAAAAAAAGAAAAGAAAAATAATTTTTGATAAATTGAAAGGGCTATTAAAAATTTTAATTCGTTTTGTTTATGCCTTAAATTAATGATCATTATTATTTTATTGCAACACAAGTAAGGCATTACTATAGACTATTATAGATGACTAAAGACTATTATAGACTACTATTGACTACTGAAGACTACTACGAGCATTTAATGACTATTATACGCTACTCTAGATTACTAGACTACTATTCTAGACTATGCTATAGACTATTTTAAATTTGAAATTTTGATTGCATCTATCTGTTCTTTATTTTCATCAAACAATAAAATACATATGCTCGAACGGTTTGAATGTTATGTGCAGTTAATGGTTACACAAGTTTCCCAATTTTAATCCTAAACTCTTGTTTCGGGAACGCTACAGTCGAGCAAGCCCGACAGTGAAATACCCTGTACCCAGATAAACTTCCGACACTGGGGTACATGCGCCTCCCTTCTGCTGGAGGAAGAAGAAGAGCGAACTTTATGCTGCAGCTTGTTGGCGTAGTACCGGGGTGAAATTGTTTCGCTAATAACATTTCTTACAATTAACCGATTTGGATGAAATTTAAAAATTATATTTAAATTATGTGTGCAAAGTTTGGTATTGACGAAATTCTGTAGCGTCCTTTCTCAGACCTAGGAGAATTTGGATACCAACTTTGGTTATTCTGGCGTTTATAGTTTCTGAGATCCTTACGTTCATCCAGACGGACAGACGGACGGGCGGACATGTCTAGATCGATTTCTCTCGTCATACTGATTCAGAATATGTATACTCTATATACTTGGGTACAGGGTATAAAAATATATTTTTAGCGAACTAACTGTACATATGCGTTACACTGCTCCGCAAAACATTAAAAGGGTTATATGAAAATATATAGCGTTTTAGTATTTCTGACAAATATTCCGACTTCCAGGCAGATTGAATCCACTTATCTCTCTAGCATTGAAAACGGAGCAATAATGTTACATTTAATGACATTCTATTAATTGGCGAAGCGTAGGTGTATAGCCATTAGGTTTAGAGAGAAGAGAGAGCTGTCGACCTCGTCTTTTTATTGGTCTGTTGGTCCAACTTTTGGCCAATTACTCATTTACACATGAGACAAAACATATTCACTAGAGAGATATACATACTACTTGTATATGTGTATATGAGTGTACATAATGTACAAATGTGCTTGAGAATTGAAAAATTGCGCTTTAAATAATTTTAAGCATTCATTTTTTATGCGTGTATCTCAGCCTCAAGAAGAAAAATAAATTAATGAGCAACAATTTATAATGGCATGGCAAAATATACTACTAAGAGGTGCCAACAAGCGGCGACAACAACAACGTGCGGCAATGGAGGAGATGACGATGACGGTGCCTGGCATAGCATTATCCCATGATGGTATTTCTGGTCTTGGCTCCATCCCGCCTGTCCCCGATGTCCTGATATGGCTGGTAGTCTCAATTTCAATTTCAATTTTCGTTCGCTTCGTTCTTGGGCTCGTGATATGAGAAATTTATGAAGCCAGCAACCCGTACGGTGTGACCATGATGAGCCTTAGGGTCAGCTGCCATTGCAGTAGGTGTTGCTGATGTGCCGCTGAAATGCTGTGCAGATTAATCATAAACACCATAACAAAGAAGTTTTGCATTTCTGCAGCTGCGGCAGCGAATTGCAACGCCAACTGAGCGCCTGTCACTGCTGTCAGTCAAAGTGGCTCACAGACAAAGGCCCAGGCACAGGCCTATCAAATAGTTTAAAAATAGGTGTTACCCTAGAGCCACCATCGCCAACACCATCACCAGCATTGGCATCCCTGGACTGTGCTGAGTCCAGCATGGTGCGTTGTCAGGCTTAATTGTTATTATTGTTGTTTCTTCTGTCGCGTCTGTCCATCGACTGCGGCTCTTGCAGCTGACAGCAAAATGTTCGCAACATGTCAAAACTTTTATGGTTTTTTAATGGCCATCTATACATAGATATACTTTTAATTGAATTATGTTCTTTTTTCAATATTCATAGTTGCAAGGCCCAAGTCTCATACATACACACTATACTCGTATGTGCTATTTCTATTTTATGTTAACCCATTACTTTAAGTATATTGGCAAGTTTTCTTAAACGGCAATTATAAATTGTAAGGAATCATTCTGATTTAATTTCAGTTTTATGTTAACCCATTACATTAGTATATCGGCAAAAAATTGTGTTTTCTTAAACTGCAATTGGTATGCAAAATAATTAGAAATAAAATTGAAAGGAATCATTCTGATATGATTTCATTTGGCGTATTGGAAAACTATCTATGATAAAATATGTTTTTTGATTATGATGCCGCTGTCATCTGTCTTCATGATTTTCTGATATCTTTTTACTTCGAGTGACGCGTTGCTTCTAGAAAAAATTCTAGATTTCTTCCCATAACATACTTTGGGAGTATAAAAGAATATTGTCGATTAAGAATGGTTATTTTTATTTCAGATTTCTGACAATTCGACTGAAAAATAAGGGAGAATGTTACTGTCGCGGGAAGCCTCCCTCAGAAAGCAAAAATAAGGATTACGAGTACAACTCAGGTAAAACGGTTTCGCTGATTACTTTTTCAAATATTAACGGGGTTCAATGGAATAAATATATGACGTCTGAAGAACTTGTTTTTTATACCCTGTACCCGTAGGGTAAAAAGGGTATATATTAGGTTTGTGCAAAGTATGTAACATGCAGAAGGAAGCATCTCCGACCCCATAAAGTATATATATTCTAAATCAGCATGACGAGAGAAATCGATCTAGACATGTCCGTCCGTCAGTCCGTCTGGATGAACGCAAGGATCTCAGAAACTATAAAAGCTAGAATAACCAAAGTTGGCACCCAGATTCTCCTAGGTCCGGGAAAGGACGATTTTTTTTTTTTTTTTAATTTTCCCCCCTTCCACCGCTGCAGAATTTCGTCAATAGCGTCCATATTTCAAATGCTACCTAAACCAAACTTTGCACATATAATTAATATATAATTATCTACTGATGTTTAAAATTATTTATTTATATTTATTCAATTCGGTCAATTTTAAGAAAAGTTATTAGCGAAACAAATTCTCGCCAGTACAACCCCCACAAACTGCAGCAACAAGTTCGCTCTTCTTCTTCCTCTTTTTGCTGCTGCTTTGGGCGCATATAACTCAGTGACGGAAGTTTACCTGGGTACAGGGTATTACACTGTATAAAAGTAAAAAAGGCGTTACATTTTAAACAAGTTTCTATTTCATTATTTTTACATATGTTTAATGTTATTTTACTTTAGTTCAAACAAATTGCAAAAAATCGTGGTCCCCCTAGATGAGATCCTGTAGGAGATCCCAAATTTTATGTTTTCACTGCACTACAGCCTGATAGACATGGCTGGCTAAATTTATTTTGTCATATTAATATACATACTATATCTATTTTATAGGGTCGGAGGTGCTTTCTTCTCACTGCTCCGCCCAATAAACAATTATTCTAATGCATTTTTAAATTCTTCTATTATACATACTATTTAACTATAAAACAGTTTGTCTGAACTGATTGTTTGATTGATTATACGAAGATTTGTGCAAAAGTTTTCATATTATTAAGATAGTAAGCACTAGAGAGAGGGAAGGAGACAGGCGTAAGGGGTCTTAAAGTTTCTATAAAAAATATGATTTTATCATATGAAAGTATCTAGCACAACGATGTTTAATGATTAATCAGTTCGTATCACACACACACTGTTTCATGTATGAGATTATTATTGTATAGGATTCTCCGCTAAAAAGAATCTGCTGTTTATTTTTGATTGATTAATTTGTGAGTGATGCGAGAGTTACAGGAATATCATAATTTCTCTTCGTTTTAGTTATTATTAAATTTCCATTTTGAGTGCATATTATATCTAATAGAGAGAATTTATGTGTGATCTAGGAAATGATATCAATGGGTTAACAGTTGGCCAACTTGGGGTTTTTCACGCACGCTGACGCAAATTTGTGTTATTATTATTGTTTTTTGTTGCTGTAGTTGCTGTTTTTTGTTTAAACACACTTTTTATCTGCAGCCTTTATCTAAGCATTTGATGAACAAATAAATAATAAGCAAGCGAAGTGCAGTGAGACAAAAACGACAATAATAACAACGGTAGCACGAGGCGTGTAGCTTTTACGAGTATATCAAGCATACGCTTAGTTGGTTTCGTCTCATTTGTGACTGTGGCCAATATTTGCGCATATTTGAAATGCCTTATTTTCCGCTCGTTTTCTTCTCTTTGCGTTTTGCTTTAGCAAAGCACACGTAATTAAACAAATTGTAAGCGAAAGATTTTCATACATTTGTTTCAGTCTCTGTGTAGCTTCTGCTTATCTATCGTAAGCGTCTTGCCAGACATACTGAGCAGCCGATTCTGACCCTGTGCGGTTGGGCGCCTAACTATCAAGAGTTACACGACATCTGTCAAAATAGCCATGGCATACAAATGGCAGCTGACTGCTCCACATACGCTAACTAAAATTAAACTGTAGCATTAGATAAAACACTCCGAGAGATAAGCATTCAAACTTTCAAGCTAACAAAGATCAAGTTGATACATTTTTCTTGTGTGTGTATGTGTTTCTTTTTTGTTGTGCGCGATAAATTCACAAGTGTACGTACATTTAATCCGACTTCCGAAGAAGCTGGAGAAACGCTTTCTGCAGAATATTAAAGACCATAAATTAGTGGAGGAGGATTATGTTGTAGGAGTTTCCTTTAGAATTGCTGCATTGAGTGACAGTAAAGTAAGTGGTTTTTATTTAGAAAACAAAAACTAAAAAAAAGAATTTAAGCGGAACTCTTCTGTCATTGCGGGAAAGTATTATTTAGACTATTGCCATTGTTTATAGGTTCCATAAATCTACCTTTTAAATTGAATGCAGCAACCAGCATGAGCTAAAAAGATATCTTTGTCTGCACTGTGTCTTACTAAATATGGTTTTTATTTTAACATGGACCGGAAACTATATATTGTCTACTGCTACCGTATTATCTTAGCTTTCATTAGAAAGCATCTTTTACTTATTGTGGTCATCTACGGCTGTCACTAAAACATTCTGAATGTGCACTTTGGTTATCATATATCTTAAGGAAATAACCCGTGTTTGATAAAAAAAAAACGATTTTTAAATATCATCAGCAGCTATATGACATAGTTTTCTGACGCGATCTCGTGTCAAAGAAAGTCTTTAAAACTAGTGTTTGATACAGATAGGTGGATGGACGGACAGACGGATATCGCAATTTTGAATTTGAATACGTCTTGTCATGCTGATCATAAAAGTACGTATGTACGCATATAGCATGTGATATGATATGATATATCTATGTATGATATGACATATCTATGTATCTGTGTATGTACCTATAACATGTCATATGATATGGTATATAATGATAGATATTATTCATGAAAATTAATTAAAACAATAATTTAACATTGAAAAATATATGAGTATACTAATACTTTTCTATGATGATGTGAAAAAAATAATTTCGAATGCTGTTGCTTGTTACTTGTTTTACAATTAAGATTCTCGCTCTGAAAAAAGTTAACAGCACAACACATTTTCTAACGGATAGGTATGTCCTGAGGGTCTTACACACTGTAATAAGCTCATCATTCAAAATATCTAAATTATCCAAAAATGATGTATACTAGTTATCAGCAGAATGCCTTAGTATATCTCTGCTTTATCATTATGGTTATTCCAGCAAGCAGCCATACAAAAACAATCAGCTTATATTTAAGCTTTGGGGCTACATTTGATTAAGTGGATTATTTCCATGTTATGACATCTCATTGGGTGCTACGTTCAATTAATATTCTTATGGGCTTCTTTCCTTTCCAATGTTGAGACTAGGACCAGCTAAAATATTCTAAGGTAGTTGGTCAAGGACTAATTGCTTGCAGCTGTAAGAAAATCAATTCAGCCAAGTCACAGAAGTATTCAACCTATCAATGAAATCACAAACCATTTGATAAAAATTATCTTTATTTCTCTACAAAATCCCCTGTTAGCTCGATGCACCGTTTCCAACAATGTTCAGTAACTTCGACACCCTTTTTATAGTTAGAAACACCTAGCTGCTTAAAATAGCTAATTGGCTTATCCTGTATATTGTTGGCAAATATTTTACCCCTGGCTCATTCTTCAAGTTTGGCAAAAGGAAATGATCCTTGCGATAACGGATGTGGTGCAGGATTTAATGACATAACATTTTCTGTTTGAAAAATTTTGACGTTTCTTCTTGACTTCAGCAATCAAATGTTGTTTACAATTTGTGTTCTTTTTCGAAGAATATCATTTAAAATTCCACATTCGTCCACAAAACTGCCGCCAAAAAAACTTAATGGAGCCGATTCCTCCCTGTTCCTGCGTGGTTATAATCGACTTTATTGCTTTGAACCAATTCAATCCATCCAGCCTTCTCATCTCCAAATTTTCTGTCAATATGCGATGTACAATACTTTTGGAAATGCCTACCAATTCTGCCATCTTAAATAGTTAAACTTGGCGAAAATTTCGGACCATTTTGTGGATTTTCTTGACCATTTCTTTTATGTTTTTTAATGTACTTTACATTTTTTCTGATAGTTTCATTTATTAATATTTTATGTCATTAATTTTGGTCAATTTACATAAATAATACAATTTGCCGCAACTTCCAAAACTGAATCAATAAGTTAATTTTACATAAATAAAATGAAAGTACCTTAGCTTAGCGTCAATACTAAAATTGAAGTATTTCCTCAATTGATGATTATATTTTGATGAGAAATTGTCAGTTGTTTACAAAAGTTTTCCGAGATAGTTCCACATGAGAATCTGTGTCAAGTACAAGACAAATATTTTCGAATTTTAAAGAGAATATTCTTTGGCCAAATGCACGTACAGCAAGAAAATAATTTGGGTCGCTTTTCGGTCGCGCCCCAACATATCTCACAAAATATGATAATTAATCAAATGTTTGCCCATTTTACAGATCTGTTGTACTTCTTGTTGACACTTCTGAGCATTTATTTCAAAACAAAGGCACAAATATGTGACGGGCTACACAAAGCAATTAAATCCTATTTAAAGGGCATCAAATAGTTTTGCAAAATAATTGGTGGGAAGGCTTTTCTCTCTATGCATGACACAAGCAACAAGAGCAACAATAACAACAAACTTTTGCAATTATTGCTGTTATTATTCCGGCAGCTTTGGTATTTTTAATTGTAATTTTTGTTGTATTATTTTAGAGATTGTTTTAAAATTATGACGTGTGAGAAATAAAATTGTACATTTTCATTTCGCGAGGCAAACATTTTTCATCTACATACATATACTTGTAGATACTTATTCTATATACACAAATAAATACATACACACACACAGACAGATGCAGAGGTGGGGTATTATTCATACAAATAGAATGCACTTTTTTTATGTCTCAGTTCGGTTTGGCTGTTGGTTGTAGCGGCAAAATATTTTGAAAGATATTTTTGGTGCTGGCGGCCTAATATTTCGAGACAGATGTGTTATTACTCTAGTACCATTTTTGATTTTGCCTTGCCAGCACATGTGCTGAGCGAGGAATGTTGAGTATTTGTGGGATTTAAATGACAAAATACGAATACGCTGAGATACAATTAATAACATTTGGGTGCAAAGGTCGATCTGCAATTCAAATAAAAATTGTAACTTTGTTAATTAGGAGATATATTTACTGGAATCTTTGATCTTTTTAAATGCAACTTGATGATTTTCGTAAGTATCCCAAAACTCTCTTGATATTAATATCTGATTTAGAAAATTGAGTCTACTTTGTTCAATTTGGTCCAATGTTCCTGAAAAATAGGGTGTGTGTCTATTATAAAGACTAACATATTCAATAAATATTAATAAAGGTCCGCCAAACGCTGTTTAGCTCGAATACCCGAAATGGTTTGCTGTGAGACCTCCTAAAGAAGTACTGTACGATCTAGAGATGGTTATCTGATATATTACATGATATTTCTTTAAAAATCATAGGTAGATGTAGCTTGAATATCTCAGATTAAGAGAATGCCGTTGCTCTTGTATCTCATTTCGGCAACTACTTAGTGCGTTCAAAGATGAATAGCTTTTATTTACCTTCAGCGGCGGTATAACTTGTCAGTTGTCACATTATCGTCTGTCCTAAGATGTCTTTCGATTCGTCTTGTTTGACAGACACTGCTGCTTCCTAGTCTGGGAGAATTGTTCATGTTTGTATATTGCCAGCTATGATATCAATTTGATTTTCAAATAGGATAGCGGAGATATCATATAGCTAGACTACTGGATACTAAGGGCTGCAAGGGAAGAAACTCTTTAACAAATTGATTAGCTTCTTAAAACATAAAACGTTTTTTAAATAAAAATAGAAATGTTAATTCAGTTTTCTTTTATAGCATGTTTTCAATGTTGTGAGAAAATTGTTTGCTGTTCATATAGTTTCTGAAACAAGGGAGCCTTAGACACTTTTTTAAATTATGTAATAATGATACTTTTAATTAAGCTGACTATAAAAAATCTTCGGTGTTTTATGCTCTAATAAGGGAAAAGAAGTGAAAATACAAAATTATTATGTTGCTGGCCAGCAAAGTTTTCTGCCGGCTATGCCAAAAGATCGAACACCGTCGGTACACCCTGGAGGCACCAAAGGATGCACCAAATAGCAGACCTTTGACTTTGGCCTTTCGCCTGCATTCGGAAAACCCACAAACAGACCACCTAAGCACGCCCATTCTTATCCTTCATGGTGTACTGGGTAGTAAGGATAACTGGCGCAGCATGGCTAATCGCATGTCCGCTGAGACCGGACGTCGTGTGTATTCCCTAGACGCGCGCAATCACGGCGAAAGTCCACATTGTTCGGAGCACTCACCTCGACTAATGGCTGCCGATTTGGCGGAGTTTGTGTCGCAACACGGACTGAAGAGAGTGTGCGCCATGGGGCATTGTATGGGCGGCAAGGGGATGATGAAATTCTCACTGCACTATCCCCAAATGGTGGAACGTGCTATATTTGTGGACATATCTATGGTGGAGGAGCCAACCATGGCCAAAGTGGTAGAAGAAATCTTTGATGTCATCTCAACCATGCAGTTGCCGCCCAATAAAAGCCTGCGCGAAGGTCGCACCTTAGCCTTACGGGAGCTTAAGCTCGTCATGCGCAATACGCCAGGTGCCGATATGATAGTGAAAAATTTGCGTAAAGATTCCAATACGGGTGAATTCTACTGGGTCTGTAATTTTCCGGCTTTGCGCAGGAATTGGGCAGAATTAGCCAATGTTCACAAAACTATTACGGCTAAGTCGCCATATCAGGGTCCTGTGCTGTTCATTGCCGGCACTCACTCGAAGTTCTTTCAGACATCACATATGGCTGGGATACGCCAGTGGTTCCCGCAAGCAAAGGTGCAATGGTTAAAGGCCGGTCATTTGATGCACCATGAGGATCCTGAAGGATTTTTGAAACTGGTCCTCGATTTTCTGAATGAGGATAAATAGGTCTTGACTAAATTTTAGTTGTTGATTTTGTTTGTGATCTGTGATAAATCGAAATCTCTATGTACAAGGTGCGTTCCAAAGTAAACAGGACTTTTTCTATATGTCGACACGTGTGTTAGAATCTTCTATCTTTATCGATTGTCCAGTGAGAATTTCATGACATTTCATCGATTGGAAGTGAAGTTATTGCGTTTTAAGTGTCAGTATGTTTGTGTTATCGGTGCGAAAATGAGCTTCGAACAAAGAGCCAACATTAAATTTTGTTTTAAAATTGGTAAAACTTTTACCGAAACGTTTCAATTGATGGAACAAGTTTATGGCGATGATTGCCTATCCCGTAGCAGAGTGCACGAGTGGTTTCAACGTTTTCAAAATGGTCGTGAGGACATAAATGACGATCAACATGTGGGCCAATCAAAATTCGTGAACACCGAAAATTCCATCGAAACTGTGCATGAATTCATCAAAAATCAGCCGAAATCATCATTGAAATTGATGGAAATGGAATTGAACATCTCGAAAACATCGATTTACCGCATTTTGACCGAACATTTGGGCTTACGAAAGGTGTGTGCACGGTTTGTTCCGCACAAATTGACTGACGACCAATATTTGCTCAGAATCGATCGACGCTTGTGACCGATTATTTGAGCAAAAATCACATTTTAACCATTAACCACTCGCCGCATTCGCCTGATATGGCACCGTGCGACTTATACATTTTCGCAAAAATGCATTTGCCCATGAAAGGAAAGCGTTATGCAGACGTAGAGGCCATTCAAAAGGCTTGTACCGGCATACTGGCGGCCATACCGACCAACGAGCTAAAACACTCGTTCGACATGCTTTTGGATCGTGCAAAAAGCTGTATTGAAGCAGAAGGAGATTATTTTGAATAAAATAAATTGATTTTGGCGAAAAAACCATTTGTTCTGTTTTTTTTTTAAAGTCCTGTTTACTTTGGAACATTTCTTGTATGTATTGTTAAGCTTTGGTTTAGTCATTCAATACTTTCAGGAGTAAGTAGTGCCTACGACCATGTCTTATATTAGATTTATATGAACGTAAGTATTTGCCTGAAGTTTAAAGTGAGGGTATGAATACATTCCTAGTTATTATCCCACAATCAAATATGAACACTATGAGCGCAGTTTGGGTTTCGGTGAGATAATGGTTTTGAACATAAGCAAAGTTTGTGACTTTTTTGTTTTAAACCACACCACTAAGAACTATAAGATCTATGTGATTGGTTAGGCTTGATCTTATATTTAAAGGTCATTGCTTAAAAAGGGAGAAACATACTTGTAAGGTAGCGATATTAAGGAAGAACAGTGGTAGATTCCCCGGCTTTCCAAAACATCTCCACCTCTTATGCTGCTGCTCTTCGCTTGCCACGATATGCACAAGTGGTTAGGTAATTGGTAAGATATTTAGTTTCGTTTGGAGTTTTAAATCAAAATTTGAAAACGGATATGTTAAAATATTGGAGTTGGCTGCAATGTCGACGCTTTGGGTCGCTTGTGCCCGTGGCCATGAATTATGCCTTGTGGCAGGCCGCCAGTGTTGCCGATGCCAGCATTCCAATTTTCATAATGCACGGACTGCTGGGGAATATGGATAATTTCCGCAGCATTGCCATGGCGCTGGCGGCGCAGGGAACCCGTAATGTGTTCACGATGGATATGCGGAATCATGGCGGTAGTCCGCATACGAATGAACATAGTAGTCTGCATATGGCGAGCGATGTGGCGGCCCTGATGTATGGGCATGGTGTGCGGCAGATCATAGGCGTGGGACACAGCAGCGGGGGGCGTGTGATGATGACGCTGGCCCTGACACAGCCGCAGCTAGTTCATCGCCTGATCATCTCAGATATATCGCCCATAACACTGCCCTCCAATATGCACAAAATGACGCGTGTCTTTCAGACAATGCTGAGCATCAGCATACCGACGGAATTGACTTTGGGTCAGGCCCGCCAGCTGATAAAGCCGGACTTAGATAAGGTAACTGGTGATGAGCGTTCCAGTCAACTGATATTGACAAACCTGACGAAATTACCAAGCGGCGAGTTCCATTGGCGGGTCAATGTACAAGCCATTCTTAATAACTGGATGGATTTCACTCACTACCACGATACGATAATGGGTCTGCCACCCTATATGGGGCCTACACTCTTTCTGGCCGGCCAACACTCGGCTTTTGTACAGCCAGATGATGAGCCACAAATCCGACAATTCTTCCCAAACATGCAGCTACAATGGATGCAGTCTGGCCATTTAATACATATGGAACAGCCGCAAGAATTTCTCAATTTGGTGCTGCAGTTTAGTCATTAAACGTGTTAGATTGTCGGGTTTTTAATGCATGGTTTAATTTTTGCACGAAAAAAAGAGGAATTAACATCAACTTGTTGCTGTTGTTGCCGCTGTTGCCGGTGTTGCCGGTGTTCGTTGTTGCAACAACATGATATGCTGCCAACAGCAACATGGCCTGGCATCAATTAAGCTTTGTTTTAAACAAAACCGAAACAAAAAACTCCAATGCAAGGAAAAAGTGGCCAACTATAGCTAGATGGCTATTTAATTTTTCGCCTGCATTGAAAGCATCTCTTGTGTGTTGCTGTTGTGTGGAAAACAAAAGATCGCCTGCCTGCCCGTCTGTCTGTCTGTCTGTCCGCCTGTCTGCCCGTCTGCTTGCCCGCTAACTTGGGTAACAAAATACATGCCAAAGACAATGACTGCAAACAAAAAGCTAAAATAAAATAAGCATATTTAATGGCAAGCATCGTGCTGTGCCAAAGCATGTCAACGACAGCAGCACCAGCAGCAACGGCAGCAACAACAACAATAACGGCAGCGGCGGCAAACACTTGCCAATTGTTGCTGAAGTTATATCGTATGTGTATATCAAACAAAAGGTCGTTGTCTGCCGCTTCTTTTGCTTTTGACTTCCATGCACTAATTACGCGGATGCGTAAACGCTGTCGACTTTTATGGCGAGCATTTACTGAGCGGACTATCAAAAGTATGCGACATTATCCTTTGAAACAAAATATAAATTTTCCATGCATATATTTACCTTGGTGTATAGAAGATTTTCTTCTAGTTCAGGTTATACTTTTATAACTGGGCTCAAGAGGATCTTATGCCTCGATTTTGGTTACATTGTTGACTAACTTGTAGAAGAATTAATTTTGTATAGTTGCAGGCTCTAATTATTTAATAACCAAAATACTTAAAATATCAGGAGTGGAAAGAAAACGTCTTATGCTCCAGCATTTCAATATACATAGTACTTCGAATATATATTGCTGAATTTAGTTTAAAATTTATTATACTATTTAGTAAGGCATTGAAAACTTGATATTTTATTTGAATAATTATTTAAAAAAAAGACAATAAAAACAAAATAAAACAATACAATATAAACAATACAATATAAACATTATTCTCATGGAGAGAGAATAAACTTAAAGGCATACTGTCTCCGCGTTACCCATATTTCATGAGAACGTTATGTTTTTGTGCCTGTTTTGCATTCTTAACAGGCTTGACAAAAATATTAATATTCAATTTGGTTCAATACCTTTATACTTAATAAAAAGTTATTCATAAACAACACTTTGTGTCATATGGATTGCATGACAGCTATATTGCGTGCATTAAAAAGGAGCCTGCACAAATACCTTCTACTTTGAAGGACATCCAAGCATTGTCCAGCAAACATGAAGGGAAATTTGACTAACAAATTATTTGAAACCTAATAAATTCAATGGAAAATCTTATACAAATAATAGTTGATGGTTCTATTTACAAAATGTATTCCCTCTTCTGCATTGTAACGTATCGAATATAAAGAATATCGGAACTTTCTGGAGTGTTGTTGCTATTAGCCAGACATGTGAACGAATTATTGTGGAAAGTATAATGGCAAAAATACTGCAAAATAATGCGATAAGAAATATACGTCTCCCATGACTTATTCGCGCACCTTACATAGCTGGGATAAAACTGAAAGAAAGAGCCTTACATTATCTGCATATATGAGATTGTAGAGCTTTAGATAATTGCCAAAGTCCACGAATCTTCAGAACGGTTTATTTAGGAATAAATCCTGCTTGTTTTATGATAAATGATCCAAATATTTTTAAAAGCCTCGCTTAAGTTAATACTCGTATGCGCTATAGGGGAGTTTTGAACAGTTCCTTTTGCTTTCAAGGCGTTTTAGCAGTTGTTTAAAAATAATGCTCGCATGTTCGTTATTCCTTGGTGCCCATTTAGTTGTTATTATGTGAAAATTAAACGCTCAGCGTAAAAATTTTATGATATCACTATCAAGATCATTTTCAATTGTACTGTTTTATTGATTGTTCCATTTAATCTCTCTTCACTTTCACTTTTTAAGCCGCTAAGTTCTTTTCCACTTAGCAGAAAGGTCATAAATAAATGACCGCGATGGAGGTGTGAAAAGCCATGGTAACATCTGTGGCAACTATCTCTCGCAGCCAATAAAGCAATATTATGTTTATATTAACGCATCTCACACAAAGGCCCAATATCATGTAAGCAAAGGTCATTTACTTCTACAGAACCCCTTTAAACATATATGTACGAGTAGATGTGGATGCTACACTTGAGGTATTTCCCGCGCATTGTGTAGGGCTAAAAAAAGCAAACGAAAAACCATTAAACAAAATAAAAAATGAAACGAAAGAAACACAAACGTCGACATCAAATCAAAAAGCCTTTGAGGGCTGCATTGAACGCGTGCCGGGGGCATGCAACGCATGCAACACATCACGACGTGCGTCGTGCTGCCTAAAAATAAAACAGGTTATGCCTCGAAATAAAAGTCGAAGCTGCTTCACATTTGCCGCATCGCAAGGCAAACCAAAAGGTAAATTCAATGCGTTGCCCCAACTTCTCCCAGGTGCCATTTACATTGTTTATGCAATTAGCGCGTGAGACTTAACATTTCAATTACGATTCGAAATATGCTGCAGCGTTGCCATATATAGTAGCTCCCGAACATTATTGGTGTGGGTCAATGCAGTTTTATTTGTTTGATACCCTGTATACAGTGCATAAGTAAAATTCGAATTCTTTTGTAATACTCAGTTCCAGTCCAAAATGGTTGAGACTATAGCTCTACTAGGTACAGCCAATTGATTTCAAAATCAAAACAGTACAAAGGCTCGGATCAAAATTAATAAAAATGTTTCGCTTTTGGTATAGTAGTATTATAAACAAACTAAATATAATCAATCCAAAGCTCAATTAACACGACTCGAAAGATTGGTCCCACAACATGTGCTTTTAGAAAATTGATTTATCCTTTATTTTTTTAATTGTTTGTTAAAGGGAAGAAATTATTAAACAAAACCAAGCAACTTATTGTAAAAGTATATAAAACAATATGAATTTTAAGACCTTATTAAAATTATAAACATATAGTTATGATTAATTTTTAGCTTGGTTGGTTCTATTAAAGACTATTTAACTTTGATTTTCTATTTGCCTTTTTTTGTATAGTTTGCCATTCTCAATTATGAATTGGGACAATAACCCAGTTCCATAAATAAGTTTTCGACTCCTAATAGATGTTGTAAGTTTTTAAAATATTTTTGCTTTAATATTGTCATTTAGAAAGGTTGAAGATTTTAAGGAACCCTTATATAAGTTTGAATTTCTACCAAAGCTTCAAAAAAGGTAATGCTTGATAGAACGAAAATATTTTAAAAAATTTAAAACCAGAGAAATAGTACTATATAAAATATAGTAAATAGTATATAGGTTATAGTTTTAAAATGGTAATTCCGATTATTGGAAAACTTAAAACCAAAGCTTCAGAAGAGTAAATGCTTGATAGAATGAAAATATTTTTTAAAATGTAAAACCAAAGAAATATTACTACATAGAATTTAGTAAATCGAACTATAGGTTATAGTTTTAAAATGGTAATTCCGATTATTGGAAAACTTAAATTTGTAATTTGTGTAATTTCCTTTAATAACATTATTCATAACATATCCACTGAGTACAGCGTATTCCTTAGTCAGTTGCAGCTGGCTTACCTGTATATTTTGCGATATTTATATAAATTTAAGCAGCGGTGCAATACAAAATTAAACAGACTGCATATTTGATGTACATTGTATGTGGGCAAGGTGGGGCGCGGGGTACGGGGCGCAACGGGCGCCTGTCAGCAGCCTTCATAGCGCTAAGGCATTTATTGTTCAACAATAGCGCCTAATTGCCAAGGCACACAAAAATGAAGGGAATTGTGTGAAGTACATGTAGTGCCTGATTGCTATCGCACATAGACCTTGAACTTGAGTATTTTCGAGGCTGACTGGCCGAAACTAAAGTTCAATGTTTAATTATAGTCTCGATAACCAAATTATAAAATTGTATCTATTAAATCATGTTCTGTCTGTTCTTTCAATACTACAGCTCGCTCAGAGTGTAAGCACAATGCCGGAGGCACGTCTTGAATGCATTAAATATGACATAGCGACGCAAAAGTGTCAAAATGAAACGAAAGGTCCAAAATCATCATCGCTCTATGCGAGTCTTGAACAAAAGAATCGCTGGAACAGGTGACGAAAAGCTTAAATATTAATTAGCATGATCAATTAACACAAAACAACTTTTAAAAATATAAGAGTTCATTTGAATATTTTCTGCATTTCCAATCAAATGTATTTTGATTTATTTAGCAATATATTTGGAAATTGCCATTCTCTAAACCTTACTTGACTTTTGCCGCAAACATTTTTTGCTTAACACCTTTTAGTTTTGTTTGCGTTTAATAAAAATGCTTAGCATACATCTAGGCTGCTTTCGAAATTTGATTTTGTGCCTCAAATATTTTGCTAGCATATCTTTCAGCGCTAAATTAAATTCGTTGAATTGTGCATATGAGTTATAAAAAAATGTATTAATTATATCAATTGGTTTTCAAATTTAACACAGTGGCTGAAAAAGTAAAAAAAAAAATGTATTAATAAATAAATAAATTAGTTCCCAAATATAACATAGTAGCTGACAATTCTGAAATATGAATTTTATTTTAAAGAAATAAGCAAAATAGAAGAATTGCATTTTTTTAATAAAACAATACTTTCTTGGGTTTCGGTTATCAGAATAGATAGGCATTGACTGTGCTTCTTTACTAAACGTTTTAACTAAATGCATGTGCACCTTTTTTCGAAAACTTTTATCGAATCTCTATTACAAATGTTTATGCATAGGTTGTGCGCATGACTTTTGTTTAAAATGAAGATTATATTGATAATTTATTTTATGCTTGTCCTTTACAGAGTCAGCGATATTTCTTACAACTATATACCACTGCAAAATCAGAACATCAACTATATAGTGCCAGCAGCAGTAGCAACAACAACGACAACATCTCCAATTGTTTCAGTAAAAACAGCAACGCCACCCAGTAAATTACCAGCCCGACCAGAGAGTAATATAAATAAGCGACCAAATCGCACCGGCAACAGTCGCGTGCTCTATTGTTGCTGTATGCGTAATTCCACAGCGACAATACAAAACGAAGCCATAAACAGCAGCAGCAGCAACAACAATAACAACGAAGGCGACAACGACAGCAATTGCGTCGAGAATTGGCAACTACGCGAGCAACTTATATGGGACAGCAGTAGCAGCAGTAGGCAGGCAACAGAAGCCACAACAACAACAGCAACAACACACCCAACAACAGCTGCAGGTATGCACAAATGTTGTGCAATGTTTTAAAAATAAGCGAGAGCAGTGAAAACGTTAATGACTTTATTTTCATTGCAGCCAAGAATAGCAACAGTCCCAGCAACATCCCATCGGGAACCAGCAACAGTAGCAGCAACAAACGACGCGCAACATTGCTGCCAACCTTGGCTGGGCGGCATGTTGCCGAAACGAAATTGTCCAGCTCGCTGCCAGCAACACCGCAGTTAAGCCAATTGCGACGAGGAGTGCGTTATAAGAAATTATCTTGGACCGAAGAGTACGATAAGAGTCGCGTCCGAAACGCTAGCGAAACGCCTCCAACACAATTAATGCTAAAAAACGCGTCGCCAATGCTGTTAAGACAGCACGCGCCACAAACGACAAATGTGACGAGCAACAGCCACAACAAACACAACAATAGCCATAAAAACCACCACAACAATAATAACAACAACAACAACGATGAAGATTATGATCCGTTGTCCAGCTGCTTTGCGCGCATGCCAAAGCAACAGCTGCAACAACAACAACACCAACAGCAGGAGCAGCAACAACAGACAGTACAGCGTCAAAATGAAAAGCTGCGCATCCCAGCCGCCGCTACAAAAAGCTCGCGCACGCTCTGCGAGCATTGTTGTGGCGAGCAACAACAACAACAACAGCAGCATGAGCATCATCAGCAGCAACAACAACAGAGCCAGCAACAAGTTGGCAGCGCCAAGTTAAACGCAAATGCCGCCATTGCTGGGCAACAGCAGCCGCCATTTGGGTCGCATACGGATTCAGATTCAGTCTCCGATTTGTCGTCGTATCGTTTTGTCTCCGTTGAAGAAGAAGCAAATTTCGGCACGCGCGTTTTCGTCGATGCTAATGATGCCCATGATGATGATATCAACGATGATGATGATGATGACGTTGACGTTGCGTCGCAGCCGGTTATAGAAATAGAACAACAGCAGCCAAAAACATCAGCCACTGGCGCAACAACAGCAGCGAGAAAAGCCTTAAAAGCAAAAACGCTTGGAAAAACGTCATACGCCTCATCGCCTTCAGCGTCGGCATCAACTTCTGCTTCTGCTTCTGCGGCATTGTCGCTGTCACCCACAACACGCGACGTGTCGCCAACAATTTGTTGTTATACAATTGACAAATCAACACAGCGGCCACAGAAACAGCAACAGAAGGAACAGCAGCAACAGCAACAACAACAACAGCAACCAAAACGACCAACAACGTTGCATTATAAAGCTTTAGCCACAGTTAGCTATAGGCCTTACGCTCAAGAGCCCAGCGGCCACAGCAAGAACGGCAGCAGTTCCAGCAGCAACAGCAACAATTGCGCCTATCGCCGCTATCCGCCGCCGGTGCCACCCAAGCCTCGCATATGCTTTGAAGTGACCGCCAGCAGTGGCGCAGAGCAAGACGCTGAGCCCGCCCTAAAGACACGTCGCCTGGCGCATCAGCAACATGCCACACAGCAGCGTCTGCCAGCAGTTCCTTATCCCCTTAGTTATCCGCCGCCCCTCAAATCGTTGTCTCCCACACTAACAACAACAACGGCAACACCCACAGATGACAGCTGTTCTATTTCGGCTGCCCAAAACTATTACGCCTTTGATGGCCTTAACAACAACAGGAACAAGAACAACAACAACAGCATCGTTTATGATTGTACATTCGAGGATACATTCAATTCGTTGCCCGCTCCTCTGCGCACGCTGCGCTACGATCGTCATGGACGCCTAAAACCGCATACGTTGGTAACGGAAGCGGAAATACCTAACAAATCGCAAAGTGAAACGCGTCTGCATTCTGTGGCAGCTGCCTGGAAAAGTGAACCGCTTACGACACGCATTTGTGTGGCAAATAGTGCGGCAGTGCCACGCCTAACGCCCACATTGAGTAGACGTTTGAATGCGAGCGCGAATCGGGAAAATCATGAGAACCGTGCGAATCGTGAGAATCGCGAGAATCGCGAGAATCTCGAGAATCGTGAGAATGTGCAATGTGTTTACAAAAGTTTTGATGAGCAACTAACGGAGCTGGCCAAGTTGTATAGACAAAGTGGGCCGCTTAAAGTGAGCAATAACAATAACAATAATAATTGCAGTGGTTTACAAGCGGAAACAATAACAACAACAACAGCTACAGTAAATACACCCACAACACCTACAACGCCTACATCGGCAAATAAACCACAGACGTCAACGCATTTGTGGCAAAGCAACGAGTCTATAGACTTTGTGACGCATGCTTTTATAAATAGCAAGGAGCATAATCACAACCACAGCCACAACAGCAACAACCACAATAGCAACAACAACCACAGTAACCACAGCGATCAAAACAAATTACCTGAGGACCTGCTGTCCAACTGCAGTGATCAAACAATTATCATACACAATTTGGATAACGATATCTCGCCATCGGCGAGCTCTTCGACCCAATCGTTGCACTCGCCACATGGCCATTCCGCATCGTTGCATAATCTGAGTTGCACTGCACGTGGCGTGGGAAGTGGCGGTGGCAGCGGCAGCAGCTACTGCATAAATAATTCATTCTCGCCCTTGTCGGCAACAGCCCCTCAACTGAAACGCATTCCGGCAATACAAACGTTCGGCTATAATCCCCATGTGCGCGCCGGCGACTTCGAGCGGGAGAAAGAGGTGAGTAAAACACTAATACAAACATACATACTTACTTGCAATAGGTATTCTATGGTATAGCATAAAAAAACAAAAACAACCTGTAACAAATTGTCTTGGGATTGGATTAGCAGATAACACATACGATATACAACGTACTATAGTATATACTATATAGTATCGCTCAGATGAATTCAAAAGCAGGCGTCGTTATGGGGTGGAAATTTCGGCATTGAGAGCATTGAGCACAACATGTAATCATCAAGTGCGAGGAAAAGCCAATAAGTTGTTGGAAATCACAATTTATTTATTAAATCTTTTGAGACTTTTGAAAAAACGAAAAATCTCAACAACATGGGCCTAAATATATTTCATGTTATACTTACTTCATATTTTTAATTACTCTTCGTCTTTCAAGTATGAAAAGGACTAGGGATTCGTATTTTATAAATTTAAAGAGTAATATGTGTTGAGTAAATTGATCTTATTCAATAATATAAACTGTGCCCGTAGGGAAAAAAGGGTATATTAGGTTTGTGCAAAGCTTGTGTAACATGCAGAAGAAAGAATCTCCGAACCCATAAATTATATATATTCTTGACCCTTCACGCTACAGAATTTCGTTAATACTGTCCACATTTTGAAAGCTGCATATAAATCACGTAATCTAAATAAATAATTTAATTAAATAAATACCATTTTCTACATTTGTTTTAAATTTTATATAAATCGGTCAATTCGAAATAATTTCACTCCAGTACTACGCCCACAAACTGTAACATCATGTTTTCTCTTCTTCTTCCTTTTGCTTCTCCTATGGGCGTAAAAACCGGACTGTGGAATTTCGAACTTAAGCAGGAATTTTCAAATCGACCTTCTTTTTTTGAGTGTACACACATCAGGACAATTATTATCAACACAAATAGACAAAAAGTGGTTTTTGTGCCTAAAACGCAACAAAAATATAAATAAAACAGCATTATGTAGATGAAATCACATCTATTTGTACGAAATTGAGAAAGAACACTTATGTACATCTCCCATATCCATTAAAATAATTAAGCGGTTTTGTCCGTCCGCCTGTCTATCTAGATGAACGCAAGGATCTCAAAAACTGCAAAATAACCAATTGGTATCTAGGTCCGAGAAGGTCGATTTAAAAAATTTTTTTTTAATTTTTGGTAGTTTGCAAAGTGAATATTCTCCTAGAAAGCATCTGAATGATTGTAATTGTTGTTATTGTGATATTTGGCGGCTTTTCTAAAATAACCGTACTGTTTAGTATAAGTCCATACGCCAGTTCTACCATTTCTGTCGACATCTGCATTACTTATGGACGCCTATACATGTTTCTGTTACAGAAAAGGAACTATAAGGGACCTCTTCAAATAAACACTTTTACCGTAAAACCTCTTTGAATCTATTCAAATCAGTTGACTATAACAAATAGCTAGCATAAGAAATAATGTGTTGTTCTAAGTACTTGTATTGAGCAACTTCTTATAAAAGTAATTCATTTTCCAAAATATGAGAAACTAACAATTTCTTTTGGATGGCAGCTCTGATGATATGAAGACATATATTTGTAAATTTTATTACAAATAGTACTTGTTTTATATAGAATTGTTGATATCATTAATTGGAAGTTTATTATTAATTATTTGTGTATTAGTAAGTGTTGCTTTTTTAACGTTGTTAGAGCGTAAAGTTTTAGGTTATATTCAGATTCGTAAGGGACCTAATAAAGTTGGTTTGATAGGAATTCCTCAGCCTTTTTGTGATGCAATTGTCAGTTACTGCCAAACAAATATCCAAAAATGTATGTAAACAGCTTAGTGGCCAGTAAATCATTCCTTCAATGATGTTGGCCCGCGATTCGAACGGTATTTCGCCCGAGAAGTGTTTAAAATAGCTTTATTGTAAGCATTTATTAACAAAACAGCATCGTTTATGAATGGACTCCACCAATGTTTGCCCCAAAAAGAGAAACAACGACCCCCGGAGCATTCTTTGAAAGATTCTTTAGTTATGCAGTAAAAATACACAGCGTTTAAGAGACAATCTTCTTCAATGTTGTTTCACAAGCAGCCACAAAAATTATATTTCCCTTTCAACTTTTGCTTGAGTATTATTCTAGTTCTAGTTCTTGTTTGTTTGACCACATCAAATACATACTTAGTAAAAATATTATTTCTGCTTTTATAACTTCTATGGATGAAGATTTTTGGAACTGGGCTCAATTTTAATGTACGCTATTCATGCTCAAATCTTTTGATGTAGTTGATGTATGAAGAGACCTCAAATTCTTACGAAGTTGATGAAGATTCTTGTGTTCTATTTGAGAACTTATTCTAGAAATTAGGGAAGGAGTTGTTCCATGGATCCGTTCTCCGTTCCAACTAGATCTGAGCTCATGCTTAAGACTTCCACTCCCTAATGGTGCTAAGCCATTTCCATTCTTCCTTTTTTCCATTTTGGGCATAAAAATCGTCAGTAATAGCGCCTGTTAATTTGCGTTCAATTGTTCAAGCAATTTAGTCCATCAAATGTAAATAAATGTTCAAGTATTGAGTTTTCTTTGTTTTGCATTCATTTGTGCGTTTGCTCAAGTATTTTGATAATCTATAAACATTTCTGACGGCATTAAACAGCCATACAAACAAATTTAAACAATGGTAATGTAAACAATAAGTTCATGAAAACAATTGACGGTTTCTGGCCAAGCGGCTGGCACATGAATCTGGCCAAATGCGCAAGTCGATTGCGCCTATCACTTGCCAATTTGTGCGTTTTGATAGGCGCACAATTCTAATGGTGTTTCTCATGGACATGCAAATGTCTGTCCTCCCTTGGGACAGGGCTACGATTTGCTCTTGGCATTTAAAAGCTCTACAAAGTTCGAGTATACATATGTATTTCGATTTCCTGTATAATTTGCTGGATTTATGTGCGGTTTGCTAAGAATTATAAAATCTTCATATTTATAACAAGTATAAATTCTAGAGTTGCTATAATTAGCTTGCTCGGCTGTGAAATACTCTATAGATAAGCCTATCTATGTAAATAGGCTACTTTACAAGAATAATTTTTTTTGTTTTTAACGTAAAAGCGAATTTTAAACAATATTTTGGAATATTTAAAACTCTGCGTTGAAGCTAGTTTTATTGAAGTGCGTTACGAATGTTAATTAAATGGTTCTTAAATTAACTTTAATATATAGTGGATATATAACAGTGTCAGTCCAGCCATACAGAATATTGATCCTTCTGTAAAATGGTTATAACTTTTCTTTATGTATTGTAAGACTAGCTGCTCAAAAGCAATGTTTTGAATTTATTAGTGCTTATGCTAAGTGCTTGTCTAAAGTGTGATTAGGACTCGAACGACTGGAACGAATTTTGAATCAAATTTGAACAATAGAAGTAAAAAGTTATCAATATGTCAAAATCATTGATATTGAGATGGCTTCTGAACTTCTCTTCAAACAATTCCAAATAAACTCAAATATAGTAAGATTTTTGATACTTTTTTGAGCAAATATTGAAGAAAATTTAAGTTAACAAATCAAAGAGAAACTAAATAATTTTTGAACTTTAAGCCATTTCAAAGTTTCAAACATACATTAACATTTCAATCAATAAAGCTACTGTGATGTTTATATAAATATAGTTTGGTTTTATGTATATGTTCTTAGTCACAAAGTTATGATAGGTTGTTAAGCTTGGTATAAATTTTCCTTATCAATCTTTCTATACTTATGGCGCTTGAGCTTTGAGAAAATCAAAATCAAAAGATTGAAAAATTTGATTAATTCCAGACTCCCATACTTGATAAGTTCCGTATAGCTAATATGCCCAGTTTTGTATATTTTATGGCTGTAGCGAATAAAACGCGTAAAAGCAGCAACAACTATTATATACGTGTATGTACATATGTCGATTTCGCATGCCTCGCTCGAGTCAATGTGGCGTATGCGCAATTATTTTGAAATGGCCGCCTGCCTGCTTGGACTGCGTTTGCTTATAATTTGTTTGTTGGCTTGGCTGCCTTTCGATTTGTTGCTGCTTTTTGTTGTTCTGCTGTTTTCATTTTCGTGATCGTTATTCATTTTTATTTTGATTTATTTATGCAACATTTAGTGGAAAATCCTTTTTAATGGCCGAACGCATTTCATTTTGTAGCGCACACACATACTGGCCCTGTATTCTTTTCGGTTGGCGAATTTTAAATTTTCGTATTTTATTTTTTGTATACACGTACATACAATATTATTCTCGGGGGCTTTGTTGTTGTTGTTGTTGCGGCTGCGGCTGCTGTCTCACATATTCTGAGTAGTTTTTTGGCTTCGATATTCTGCTGCTGTACTATTGTTGTTGCTTAAGGAAAAGAGAATAAAAATGAAAAATCAACAAATGTGCGAAGTTTTCTGCAAAAAATGACCGACGTAGCGCATCAATGAATCAAGTCTGCACAGCCATATATACATATACCTATATGTACATATGTACTCATATACATGGGACATTTGTCTGTTGCTTTGGGATTTTCAAATTCGCAGGAAATCCATGAAAATTCATGCTTAATATATGTATGTAAAGGTGGCAAAAGCAAACAAGAAAACGTTTTTTACTTAAGCAGGCGGCAAGATAATTTCGTGTTGTGCTTAGACACACACATGTGTGTGTATATAGTATGTACTATATATGCATGTATTTCTGATCATGAGTTAGTGTTGTAATAATTTATGTTAGTTTCTGTTCAGACTGGTTGCTCTATATTGTGCTATTTGTAAATTTCTACTATTTCTATTCCAATGCGTTGCTCTCCCTAGTTGCTCTCAGTCTCCTCGGGCTGTCTGTATGTATTTTTGTTTATACTAAAAATATCACTGTGTGCGTACATATATGTAGTGCTTTATATAGCAGCTTCGCTTTGGCTCGCATTGTGGTATGTGTGTCATTGTGCTGTAAAAATTATAATGACGCTGAGGATGATGAGGCGCCTAAGTAGCTGGCACGCACAGTGGTGAGGAGGTCGTGGGGAATGCACGGAAGAGGGAGTTATTTTTGGGCAAATTTTGTTAATTAGACATGTTCTGAATACCAATTTAAGCTTCAAACAAACGATATTATTTTTAAATTCCATTGAATTACAAATATTTATTATTGTTAACTTTGGTACTATTCATATCTATTTTTAAAATCAGCAACAAAATGTATTTTAATTTTGTGAAACTAAGCTGAATTTTGACTCATGGAATATTTGGAATATTTAAAGATAAATAATAGTTTGATTGATAAGAAGTTAATATAAAATTTATAAAACTTTGTTAATACGTAATGTATTATTTGCTTTTCTCTTCATCTGATTTGCAGTTTTATATGAATTTGGCAAACAATAAACATAGCATCTTAAGACTATTCATTGTTATTTACTGTTCCTTAATTGAATTATCATTTCAGAATGTTTGCAATTACATTTTGTTGCAAAGCAAAAAGTATAATTAATTGGCGAATGTCTTAAATTAATTTTTAATAGGCATAACTTGTATTGTGTTTTTTCAGAGCGATCAGTTTGTTTTGAACCCGTTCGTTGACTTATAAATAACATATAGAAATATTTATATCATAAATCAGATTGTGGCTAGATGTAGCAAATATTTTTGTAATAATACATTTTTATTTAGCATTGATTTGTGGCATTATTGGAATAACCAATCGGTGGTCGACATCCTTATTAGAAGTATTAGTTGTTAAGTATTAGTTAATAATCGTTAAGATATTGTACACTCCATTATCCAATTCGTTCTCCTTTTCGTCTTAGAATAGTTTTTAAGCGGTAGATGCTTCGTTTTATTATATCTATAGTTATTACCAACAGTTCGTATACATATGGGCAGAAAATAGATTTATATACTTCTGCAGTTCTCAGGCGTGCTGTGAAGTCTTCAGATTTATTTTATGTTGGCTATAATTTAATGCAAGGTTCAATACTTCCAAATTAGAAAGTTGATGTTGAAAGTTTAGCTACTTCAAAAAGCTATATTATAGCTAGCTACATTATTTTGAAAAGGCTTTATAACCGGCTTAATTCGAGTACCTCCCATTCCATTGAGATGCTCCAAAATATTGAGAATTTAAGTAGCAATATGCACAAAAATCAAGCGACATTTTTTTTAAATACATTAATTTTTATAAATGGTTGGTTGCTATTATTATTTCATGAAAATTGTACAAAATGTCAGAAAAAAAAAATTAAACGTATTATGTATTATGTTATGCCGCAAGTGATTTTTTCTCATATAAACTTATTTTTAGGTCGATTTAAGTGCGTTTCTTTAGGTTTCTCAGTTTTTCAATTATAGTAATATTTGAAGCTGTCAACTAAAACAAGTCATTGTAAATATGTGGTAAAACATGCAAATAATTTGCAAGCTATTCATCGAATTGCAGAAATTTCTTAAAGTTATATCAATTTAAATTAATGAGAATTAAATAGTTCTATAGTGTTTTTCTCCAAAAACCGACATTGGGATTAACTCTAAAGCACTCTAAAGCACACAGAAATTTGTGTGGAAATTATTTGCATGTCTCTTCGCAGCTTAAGTTGGTGAGCATAAAGGAATAGTTCTGGAAAGATTCGTAACTGTTGTATGTCCACCTGTTTTGCGTCAGTGTGCTCGTGAACAACTGATGACTAAGTCGTACGACTTTCATACATAAGGCGGCGCAATGACCATGTAGCTTTGTTTTGCTCAAAAGAAAATGGAAAATAAGTAGCTAATTAGGAGATAAGCCGAGAGAAAATTTCAGCAACCTTTCATCATTGCCGTTCGAATGCTAATGTGTTGGCACTATCAGATGCGAGTATTTATTTTGCTATATGTATTACGATTTATCCGAATTTTGGGCTTTTAGTTTTGCATGCCAACACAATTAAATGCATTTCATTGGCCATAATTGTGCTTTATATCTGTTGTTGTAACATTATTTCTCAAAAAATTGGCATTACACATGCTCGTATGTGTACGTTGGTCCAGCTGAAGGCATTTTGTTTATTTTCATTTGACAGCACATTAAAAGTGAATGGGAGAATAAGAGAGAGAGAGAGAGAGAGAGAGAGAGAGAGAGAGAGAGAGAGGGAGAGAGAGTGGGTGAGAGACAATAGAGGGGGAGAGAGAATACATAGAAATGCAATTTATTTTTTTTTTGACTCTATTGAACTGAGTAAATGTTTTAGTTGGCATTCATTATCCCCCGCCTGTTTCTGTATGCGTTTTCAGCACACAATGGAAAAACGACGTAATACGCTGGATCGCTTTCAACGCCTGGGCTTCGGACGTAAATCATCGCCAGCGAGCAGCACGCCCGCCAGCGCATCCGGTGCAGAGAAGCAGCGCAAAACTTCCGAGAGATCGGAACGCCTCAAAGAACTGACCGAACTACTGCGCGGCAACGCACGCGCCACCACAACACCGACACCACCACCTGTGCCACCGCCACGAAAGCCACGCGCGCCACACAACTCGGCAGCGAGCAGCATGGAACGGCAGGACACGAGCGCCAGTCAAACGTCAACGAGTGCCGACATGGGGTCATCATCATCAGCGGCAGCGGCAATGGCAACGACAACGGCAGCTGATGATCAATTGCTGGCGCCGTTGGAGGCTGGCGAACAGGCAACAGCAGCAGCAGCAATGAGTGGCAGTCAATTACAAAAGCAGCAAAGCACAAATAGCAGCAGCAGTAGCAACAACAACAACAACAACAATGGACTTGCCACACGCAGCGGCAGCGTCAGCGTCAGCGCCAGCGCCAGCACACCCTCCACCGCAGCACGCATTATGGCCTCGCTAAAGCCAAACACAAGTCTCTCCAACCTGGAAGCTTTCATGTTGGGCAATCGTGAGAAGTCCAAATCGCCGCCGCCATCGTCGATGCTGGCTACTTGCGATGAGGCTGCAGCAGGCAGTAGCGAGTGGACCACGCAGCTGTCGAGACCGGAGGCGCGCAACGTCAGCTCCGGTTCGTATGCTCAGACAAAGGGCATACCGTTTCGTTCGCTTTCGTTCTCACACATCGATTACAAGTCCACGTTGTGTGCATTGCGCGATCGTTTGCGTCGCGACAAGGCCGTCGATACATCGAGTCCCACACATTCGTTGCATCTGGGCAAGGAGGAGAACAGCGAAGAGAGGGACAGAGAGCGTACACCCGATCCGGGTTGGCGCCATATCCCGCTAAAAAAGGCTGAACTGTGCATCAATCTCAATTACGGACAGGAGAAGTCGCTTGAACATGTGCTTGAGAATGTGCCGGACTCGATAGCGGAAGAGGATATTTTCAATACGGATACCACCAGCATTACAAGCATTCTGCCCGCTACGGCAAGCAGCGTCATGGCCGCTCACGCCAAAATGGAGTCCCTCACCGACACCATACAATCGGAGAGCGAATATGGACTCGATGAGGAGCAACTGCCACTCGTGGTGAAGACTCAAGATCCACCGCTCATTGTGGAACCGGAACTGGAATCCTCGATCACCCCACCCAGTCCGGCCGCAGATAGCGATAGCAACAGCGTTACAAACGCTCCAAATCTGGCAACTTTAATGGAGGAACAGTTGCCCCTTGAATCGCCACCCGATAATTTGCTGCAGACGGCGACCACCTGCCTAATACCTGTGCCTGTTTACGAGTGTGCCGCTCAAGAATGGCTAGAGACTCCGGCTCAGGAGTGGGTTGAAGTAGCGCCCGAGGAATTTGGAATAGTGCCAGAAACCATAGAACCTATGGTTTCCCATGCCGCATGCAAAATTTCGCAAACTTCACAGCTACGCAGCGATCTAGTGCCCACGATATCGGTTAGTCGGAGCTCCGAGGAAGGTGAAGAGCGTGGCCAAGTGGAACAGCTACTCACACCTGATGTCCAGCTGGCCACAGTTGCGTCCTCTTCCTCGCCCATCAATAACAACAAATTAACACCTGAACGACGGCAGGTGTCGGCGCCTGTTGAGCAGCGCAAGCGTTACAGCCATGACGATTTGGACTTAACGAATTTGGAGCTACGTAGCTCCCTAGAGGCCATTGCGACGCCTCGACACAGCACAGATGAGCGGCACAAGCGGCATCTGGACAAGTCCACCAAACGCAAGGGCATGTACATAGATAATGCTGATTGGCACTCGCCGGCGGTGCCCCATCGTGGTCTGGCCCTGGATATATCAATTGCCAACTTTAACGCAATTAAGCCCGATTCGCCTGATGGTTCGCAAATGTATATTAATAGCCCTGCGACTGAAGATATGCGCACTCCTAGTTCCTACTCCTTTGAGCTGAATACACCGGAGCTAGAAAAGGGATCGCCCTCGTGGGGTGGCGGTAATGCCAGAGATTCAAAGTCACAGTTGCTGAGCAGCTTTAGCTGTCAGAGCAGTGAGGACAAGGATGATGCCAGCATTTGTGGTGGTGGTCCGAAGAGCTATAGCTATTTTCGCACCGATTCCAACTCGGATAATGAGTGCGAACGTAATTCTGGTTCCAGGGAACGCGTCAGTCCTAGTCCTACGCCTAGCGGAGATTACGATTATAAGCGCTACTCCAAGCGCCCGCTAAGAGGTCCCTACGGCCAGATGCTGGAGGCGGAAATGAAGAAACCTAATCGCATGCACTTCGAAGAAATTCTTGAAGAGCTACGCGAAACCGATGGGTAAGTAGAAAATCAGGGAGGTGAGAAAATCACACAACAGAATCAATCCATAAAATTGCCACATGTATTCCTTCATCCCTCACAGATTAAGCTCACGTCGCCAGCGCGGCGTCGATGACGCAACGCCCACGGGCAGTGTCGGAGGCGCGTCCACCCCACGCAGCAACCTGCCACAATATTCTAATTCGATGCGTGTGCGTAAGTCCAACACGTATCTGCCGGTGCCATCACATGCACGTGCCGCCTCTACGCCTTCACAAATCGAACATGTCAGCAAGGTGTTGTCGTCAACGCCCACGTCGGCGTCTGCCAGGGACCTTCACGAGGCGACATCAGGCAAGCAGCCGCAGCATCCCCAACCGCAAATGAAACGCGCGGCATCCGAGGCACCCGCACCAAAAACGCATCACAGCAAGCGCAGCCAATCGATGAGCAGCAATGAAAAGTCAGGCGGCAATCATCATCATCATGGCCATCATGGGCATCATCATGCGCCCAAGCGCAGCCTCGATGCCAATGTCAACAACAATAATAATAACAATAACAGCAAGTCCAAGGCTGTCTCCGGCGCCAGCTCCGTTTCAATGGATGCAACGCCAAATTTGAAGCCCACACCGGCCCTCCTAGCCGAACTGCTGAAGGGCTCCAGCGAGAACATGCTCTCTGAGCAGCGACAGAAAATGTTTGCGGTGAGTACCGAATACTATTATGTAAATATAACACCACAATAGTGATGTGCAAAAAATCACTGCGATTAGCAAGTCCCTGAGGAAATAGCTTTATTGCTTCAAAATTTCTTTGATTAGGAAATCGTTAGTTATCTTAAAATTAGTTTAATCTTGTGGCTAATTGACTAGCTAGCTTTGGTGTCTGGGTTACGGGCTTTTTTTTTTTTTAACTTTATCTGCATTGCTGTCTAGACCTTTAAAAAAAAACTGTCTGATAGTAGATTAATCGAATGTCTTTTACCGGTAGAAAGATTAGAGATTAGAAATTAACCTAAATAGACTTCATTTGTAAAAAAAAAACAAGTAAAAAAGCTAAAGTCGGGTGTCCCGACTTTGAAATACTCTGTACATATGTTTACAATAATTATAGAAAATAAAAAAAATTAAGAAAATAAAAAAAAAAATTTGATCGATTTTACCTCTCTCGGTATTCGAACTCACGTAAAGGGTGTATAATTGCACATTTACATAGCAATTGCGTCTGTGTGAGTGTATGTATGCCTATGCGCATCAATTCGTGTCTGTGTAAGCATTTTCGCAGTCAACCAAACAGCAACATCAACAACAGCCGCGGGCAGCGCTTGAGCAGCGCTGCAGCAGCGCTGCATCAGCAAATATATTTATGGCTATAACTTCTTGTTAAATCGGTCTATCATAATGAAATTTGGCATACGGACACATAATAACTAACTGGGGGTATTTCCAAAATTTTAGTTCGAAATTCCAAGAATTACGGGAGTTACGATTTGCGGGGTAGAGGGGGGAGGGAGGGGAATTCCAAAATATACATTTTCTGCGTATTCACATAAGGCATCTGGGACTAAAATTTGGTATTCCTAGGTCTCTTGTACATTTCATGTACAGAGTATAAACATTTCTGGTCATTTTGCAAATATTCTGAAACCAATCAATATAAATTAATATAAATTGTTCTTATGAACAAATAAAGCATAAGTAGATAAAAGTCAGTAACTGCAAAATGTAATTTAAGAATCTGGTGATCGATATATAGGAAAATATTATTCTTAGTGTGATTAAAGTAAATAGTTTCTGCGAAGCATACCCTTTTGGAAGCTCCTAAAATCTGTGTGATTTTACCAGGATAATTGTCTGCTATAGGCCAACATATGGCATGTTGTTTGCTGGGCTAATTGCCTGTCTGTCTGTCGGGTCTGACAGTACCTTTCTTAAAATTTTAAATTATTGTTTATTCATCGATTATTTTAAAAAAATTTAAAGAAGAAGAAGTCGTAAAGACACCTGTCCGTTCACGTCTGGTAGCCATAGCTTAATGTCAAATGGGTATAATGGAAAATGAATTATTTCAGACTTTCCGAAAAATAAAAGTTTACAGCCCAGTTAGTGCACTGATAGAAAAATTACAAATTCTCGAACCATACTTAAACAATAACATAATATGTACTACATTTGGGAAAAGGCAATAAATCTCACGTTCCACATATCCCATAATAGTTCTCACACATTTTAAATGTAATGCACTGCGAGGGTGGTTAATATTCTATCCATTTTCAATTGGCTGTTTATAAATGATGGTTAAAGTAGGTCAAGAAAAAATTTAAGATTTTAAATATGATTTATTTGTCGCAATATAAATTAATTACTAAAAAGCATAGCATTTGGATAAATCGGGACTAAAGTGAATTTTCTGACATGCCGAAAATACTATATTAAAAGATATATAAGGACGCCTATTTGAATTGGCATTGTCAACTATATTTATTGTTGCCCGTTTTAAATAGCTTCTAAGGACCTATAATTTATGTACCATGTAGGAGGAAGCTTCTCTTCTTGATTTATTTATCGATGGCGCTTCAAAGTATGCTGCACTATTTTTGAAACTGCGTAGTGCAATTGCCGTAGGAGGTGTGCATGCGAGTGTGCGTGGGTGTGTGGGAGTGTGCGCCCAGTTTGTTTTTCATTTTCCAATTAGCTGCCCACTTTGGCATTTTCCGTGCAACAGGTTCACCTTCGCTTACTTGCAACCTTACGCTCTCTTCTGTTCTATCAGTTTTCAGTTTTGTTGCGCGCCTGCTCTCTCTAGCCGTCGCTCTCACTCTCTCTCTCTCTCTCGTTTCATCTGCCTGTGTGCATTTTACTTCCACAACATTTCGCAATACACACATTTATGTACTTTTGCTTTTGTGTTTGTTCGACTTGTTTACACATTTTACATTCCGCCCATTGGGTTGGCGGGGCTTGGCTTCCTCTCCATAAATTATTTGAGCAACCACTGCCACCCGCCGTGCCATGCAAATAAACAAGGCCACGCCAACTGGCTGCCTGCGCCGTCCATCTCCAATACTTTCCACAATAAAAATAGTGTTGGGCTTTGCTCAGTCGCCGCTGCTGCCTCAGTCGGCGTACTCTGCCACTACATCGACTTCTGTTTCTGTTTTCGTTGGCTCGGCCACTTGGGCAAAATTTATAGTGTGCGCCTGTTTTTGTTTTGTTTGCTAAGCACTCCCAACGCAGCCGTGTTCTGCGGGAACTGTGGGTGATGGTGTGGTCGATGGCTGCGTTGGTCGCGGGGGAGCGGTCGGCCTCGTCGGTTGCACAATGTTAGCGCGCATGCCTCAACACAACAACTGCGCATTGGAAGTGCAAATGTAATGATTAGCATTAGCATTAGTATGTTAGTGTGTTAGCAGCGTGTGCTCTTGCGACTGTTCCATTCCAGCGTTCCCTTGCTTAGGGACAGTGGTCAAAATAAGTATTTATAGTGGCATTATGAACAAATTTGAACAAAACTTCTTGGTTGCAATTAAAAATAGGTATGTTAAATGGAGTCCGATTATAGACATTTTAGTTTATTAGAACTAAAAATAGATACATGATTAAATGATTTAGAAAACATATTATTTTTTCATAGTATTTTCAAAGATTGGTAGTTTCCGTTCACCTTCGCTATGTGTACCTAAAAACATTTACATTTATTTTCCATCGTAAAGGATTAACATGTGTTGTGTTTAAAAGGGAATCTATGAAATGTATAATATATGCAAATAATATTTAATATATTGTCTTAGGACTCATATCTAATTAATCTAACTTTTAATCTTTTAATGATAATAAAATTTATTTATTTATTGTTCAACAAAATATTTGGCAGAGGAGGTTAAAGTTTGCGTTCGTTTCTATTATTTGATTTAGAAATATTCATTGCATTTATAACGTACAAGGCACTTGAGAAAATAAAATGTGATTAATTGTTAAATCTTAAATATGTTTTACAGGTATTTTTAGTATATAAAACTTAAAAATACTGCGGTTAGGAAACATTTTCAATTTCACGAGAATGTATATGTTGGGAGAATTAATTAAATGGGAACTTCCTTATTTAGTTCTTTAATTTATTATTCAGTTTTTGTACTAAAGATTGCCAAACCTCCTGATATCAATATTAATATTATTTTAACAAATATGTGACCACCGTTTGAAACATGGGAATATGAATTTTTCTCTCTCAAACTGCTTGCTTCATTTTTTACCCAACTAAGCACGGGTATGTTCACTTTTGTTGAATTGTATGAATTAAAAATATGCAATACTGTATAGAAGATTGCTTCATGTTTACAAAATTTATATTTTTGAAAAGTGTTATTCATGCTCTTTACATTTTAAAGTAGGACAACCTTTTATTTATTAGTTTAACATACTAGTACAAGTTTCATAAACACAAGATTGTTGCAAGTTTTGGGTTTCCCTTTACTGATACACAACCGGAAAAAGATGATCATATCTTTGTGTGAAAATTTGATACTTAAGAATTAAATTCTTACGGATAATGTTGCACATTTCACAATTCTTAATCGCATGGGACCTATTGAAATGGAATATTTTGGAGCTTGCGTTTTTGGATTTCCGCTTGTAAGCAAATCAAATAAGTGCAGCACAACAAATTTAATGTTTTCCCTTGCATTAATTTAAAAAAATAAATATCAGTTAAGCATTGCCTGTCAATTTTGCTCCAATGTGACTGCCAAAAGTGTCAGTTGGATGCCAAATGCCACAATGTAGTAGAATCTTTTATATTGTGCCGAGCCTTTCCAATGAAAAGTGAAAGCGTGTGTAGCTAAATTCTGCTCTGCTCGGCCCTGCTTTTGACAGGTTTCATTTCCTCGGCTTGCGAGCGCGGTGAATGCCAATGGTTAATGTTTTTCAGAATTTTGCGTTTTGGTGCCACTTGTCGCATGCAGACGGACTCGTGAGCTTCGCAATGAACGCTGCACACGGCATTCCATTACCATTGCCACACACAAACACACACTCTATACACTCAACACACTCTCGCTGACACACTCAGCTGAGATCGACGGCAAGCACAAAATGCTAATGACCGTTTGTTTATTAGCCGACCTGTCAGACAGCGCATGGTTGAATAATGTTTGGGCTAATAGACAAAACGCTAAGACTCGTTGCGAAAATGAAAATATTTTTGAGTGCGCCCACCCACACACACACACACACAAACATACACACACAATCGCATATACATATGTATGTATGTAGAGTACACACATGTTATTGTTTTAAACATTTACACATGCTGCGTTTGACGGCGCTGTAAAAGTTTTGTTGTTCGGTTCGATCGGATGGGTTGGCCGGCGCGGGGGTGGATTTTCAGCTTGATTGGAATATGAAAAATGGAAATTAAGTGTGTATATGGCACAATGGAATGTTTTTCAACGTGTTGAGTGGCAGCGCACTCCTGTGCAGCTGCTTCGTTCTGTACACACACTCGCATATACCATATACCTACATACAGTCAACGTGGCTCTCTCGCGCAGCAGCAACAGCAGCGGCAGAGGCAGCAGCAGAGTAAGCAGCAGCGGCGGTGTCAGTACCAGTGGCAGAGAAAGAAGGCAGCAGCCGACGCCATGAACGTCGTTTTCTTCCACTGCGCGCGATTTAATTCTTATTTGCCTTTTGTACGTCGATTG